GGTTATTTCCCTTTCTTGAAATTGTAAATTGGTTAATTCCCAACCCATTTACTATTATAATAAATTGGGGGTTGCTAATATACTGTTCTTGCTATTATAAACATTTTTATGCAAGTTTTTGTGTGGACATATGTTTACATTTCCCTTGGGTATATATTAGTAATATGGTAACTTTGTATTTAATGTTTTGAGGAAGTGTCAAAAACTTTTCCAGAAGTGCTGTATCATTTCACTACCTCATTAGTAATGTAGAAGGGCTCCAATTTCTTGATATCTTCTCCAATACTTTGCTAGTGTATCATTTTTGTTTTAGCCATCCTAGTGGGTATGAAATGGTATATATAATATTGTGGTTTTGTAGATAATGAGTTTTATGTATACAGGTTAAGTATCCCTTATATTAAATACTTAGAACCAGAAGTATTTTAGATCTTGGGCTTTTTTAGATTTTAAAATATTTGCATTGTATATTTACTGCTTGAGAATCCCACATCTGAAAACCCAAAATGCTCCAATAAGCATTTCCTTTGAGTGTCATGTTGGCACTCACAAACTTTTGAATTTTGGAGCATTTTGGATTTTAATTTTTTGAATTTAGGATGCTCAATCTGCATTTACATAGCACCCTAGAACATATCTGGGGACAAAGATTTGCCCCATAAGTAAAATTTGAAGGTGCATAAGTCATTAGAGCTGTTTGTTCAAAAGAAAATGGAACAGCAACAACCCAGTTCAGAGCTCTCTTTACAGTGCTGTCACTAAATAACTTATTATTACTTAGGCTGTTTTAATCTTTCAGACTACAATAGAACAAAGAGTCTAATCCCAGAATCTCTACCATAGTGTATCACTGTGATGAATTAAGTGTAAGAGGCAGAAAGGTTGAAACTGAAGAACAAAAGTAAGGCAGAATCATTTTTAGTCAACTGGGATTGTATACCAAGATGAAGAACAGTTAGAGATACATAACAAGAGAATGCCTGGTTTACCTGGCAACATTAGGTCCTGAAGGGTCTGTTTGAAGTCACCCCTCCTCACAAAAGCAGACAGCTCCCCTAAGCAGAGGGGATTTTTTTCAAGATTTTTTTTTTTTTTTTTTTTTATTTTTTTTCTTTGTCACCCAGACTGGAGCAGTGGCATGATCTCTGCTCGTTGCAACCTCCGCCTCCCAGGTTCAAGCAATTCTCCTGCCCCAGCCTCCTGAGTGGCTGGGATTACAGGTGTGTGCCACTACACCCGGCTAATTTTTTTGTATTTTTAGTAGAGAAGAGGTTTCACAATGTTGGCCAGGCTGGTCTTGAACTCCTGACCTCAGGTGATCCACCTGCCTCGGCATCCTGAAGTGCTGGGATTACAGGCATGAGCCACAATGCCTGGCCTTCAACAGATTTATTTCAAGGTTACCTATGTTGTGATTGCTAGGTCTAAAACGTTTACTCCCAACATAAACAGAGGGGGTGAGTACATAAGACTTAAGAAACATGCTAAATTATTGGAAGACTAGCCAAATGATGTCAATTTTCTTATTAAGCAAAACAGACCCCAAGAAAATGGAATAAAGAACCACTGAACCCAACATTTTCACCCTGCTGCTATAAGTTATTAAAATAAAATAAAACTACATGTTCAAGTGCTGAGAAGCATTGCTTTCTTCAAGCCTGTGTTGTTTCTTAAAGCATAATCTCTTAAGAGAGCTGTGCTAAGTCGACATTTATAAAGCCTTGACATTCATGATACTTTCTAATTTCCCAAATGGATTTCACATCTTTGCCAATAATCACTTTTTAATTTTTTTCCTCTCTCTTTTCGTTTTTTTTTTTTTTTTTT